GAAAGCCGATTAGCGCTAACCCACGATTAAATCTTCCTAATCCACGGAATTAATTTATCCTTCGATTAAATTCTGTTCCTCGAAGTGCGATTAGTACTATCCAAGGATTAAACTAAGGGTTAAATTTAACACACCTAGTGAGGGGGATTAACTCGCTAATCGGATGAAAAAGCGGACAAACAAATTAAAATGGCGAGCTTACAGTTTGTTGATTTTGCTGTAATGCCGGGCCCGGTAAGGGAAGAAAAACAATTCGGGCTACCTAACGAATTTTCCAGCATTGATGTTGCTATTCTCTCACGGACGAGTCATCCCGCGTCCGGTTTTCCCGCGATTTTTCACAACACGGACGGACCGCTGTTCGGTGATCCGCAGAATTTTTTACACGACGGGGGGAAAGCAAGAAATTTCAACATTTCTGCTCTCAGAGGTAGAAATCGTCGCTTACTAGCCGCTCTTATGTAAAATGAAAGATCAGTAGTGGAGTTAAAGCGACCTTACTTGTTCTTCAAAAATTTGTTTATCACATTCGGCAGAATTAAGATAATAAATCTCCGTTTTCGCTTCTTTGCTTAGTTGATGGCTTTCCTCTTTTCTAGTGTTTCCCCCTAGCCAAACTTACTTTATTAGACCATCCGAATAGAGGCTATTCTGAATTTCTAAATTACAAAGAAGCAAGGCTGAAAATTAGACCGGTAAGTGTTTTCAAGAGCTCACTAAATTTCCGGCTGATTCACTGATGATTCAGTAAGCTTCGCCCAGCGTTTATCTTGCACAGATTTTTTTTATCACAACTCTAATTTTAATTGAAGCATTTTTATTGATTCTTATAGAAAGGAAATAGAGTTGAGATGCAAAACTTGGGCTTTCTTTTTCTTCTCCTTATTCAACGACAAGTTAAAGTTCGTATGAATTTTGTAGGAGCTGTCGATTATCTCTTCCCTCCCCTAGCGCTACATCATTTTCTCCCACCGCGGACCGGTTTTACCGGCTTCATCATCATTTATCCGTTCTCCAAGTGGAGAATTGGGCCGTAAGCTCTCTGCCTCCAGGCTGTTCTGTCCTCCGCAGTCGATGCTGCTGCTGCCCATGTTCTTAAACCTTCCTTTTCCAGCTCCCTTTCGACAGTCCTTCTCCAAGTCTCGCGCGGTCGACCCCGTTTCCGTTACATTCCAACATCCCACCTTTACCTTAGTTTTGGGGTTTGCCAACGAGCTGTTCGGAGGATGGGCCCCCTTTCGGCTTTCACCCATAGTCGTCATACTTCCGTCNCCAACCCCCAACCTGGAGGGCCAGGGTTTTTCTGTCGGGGTTTTCCTTCCCTTAGTCACAGATTCCGGTTATTTGAAGGCGCCGAACACTCGCCTTTTGCCACTGTCGCTCAGTTGCTAGTTACTGCTAGCATTACCAGGGGCTACGAAAACGAGGACGTGCGACATATGACTTCGCTGGCAGATCCTATATTAGACGGAAAGGCATTTCTCAGCATTTACGGGGAGAGCATTGGTGACCCTTGCTAACCCCACTGGGACCTTATACCAGCGCTTACCGGCTTAATCCGAGTTTAAATCGAAGGATAGTTAATCGAAGATTAAATCTGTTTTCAGGAACACCATTTTATACCTCGATTAGTTATCCCGGGAAAAAGAAATTTAATCGCAGATTAACCGCTAACCTCGGGTTATTTTAATCGGCTTTCGAACAACCGGGTCCAGGTCTCGCAATATCCTGAGGGGTTTATTGCGCCGGTAAACCCATAGAAAGAGTGGTCTATTGCTTAAATAGCAAACGATGAGAGAACCAATCAGATTCGCGGATTTCCAATAGAGAACACCTGAGTGGCTACTAAAACTCGATAGAAACGCGGTGAATGTTTTTTATTTCTCAAATAATATTGTTAGGCAGTTGGAGCATGGCTAACCCGCTCACGCAAGGGGGGGACCAATGCTCTCTCGTGTGTTGTATCAGGAATGTGAATGGCTGTTGTACTTTCGAGCTCTGCTTCTCTGCTTTTACCGTCAACACATCTGCTGATTCTACTGAAAATATTAGCTCGAAGGTTTCCAGTTAAATACCATAATTGTAAACCTGTTTGGGTTTACGGGATCGTTTAGACAAAAACTAGACACACCAAGGAGACGAAAGAAAACAAGTTTAGATAAACCAATGATATCATCAGTAAGGATAGTTTAGCCATAACTTGAAGTTTCGTGGAGCTTTTAACCTGTACGTCAGCAAGACTGGAAATTAATTACAATACTTCATCTCACAAATCATTAAGCTATTTAGAGCTGATATAAATGAAATGTATTTTTAACTACAATACAGCGGTAGGATTATGTACTTATTAAATGAGTTTGAGGGCTGGACAGGAAAATATTTTCCCGTCCGGCCCGATCTCAGACAGTCAATAAGCATTTTATCATGAGACCACTTTTTTGTGAAGAGTGTTGACTTTCTTTCAGTGCTCTCGGAGTATACGTTGGTGGCTGAAGTAGTTGTGCATCTGACAGTTCGGCAGGATAGTAAAATTCGTTGTTCAT